TAAAATTACGAAGGACGTCTACGCCACTGACACGCATCACATCACATTCCCACCCCTCCCTGCTCTGACTTCACATCCAGACAAACTTCTCTATAGATGCTGCAGTCAATGTCCCACAAAAGGTCGTCACTATGAGTTGTTCTTTTTGTTAGCTTCAATTGTCTTGTTATGAAATTGTGACAATCTTATTGGCTCCCATTACTGAGTAAACAATGGAATCCATGGTCAGAGGCATCCATTGTTATTTTTGTAAACCTATTCCGTAAACATTGCGCTGCAGTGTGAGGTCACGGTTCTTCTTCTGCGCATTCATGTCGCTTTGGGGTCGTAAATCGTACAAACGTAAGTCTGAATGCGGTCGCACTTAATTAGAAGCGTGAACCACTACGCAAATATTAAAATAATTTAAAATAAGACAGATACATAAAGGAATATCTGTACACAAAGAAGAAACATGCACAGGGCATCAAGGTCCGCCATCTTGCTACTCTTTTACTGCCGTTTGTTGTGCAACACACACAGCTGGTCACACATGCTTGGTTCCCAAAACAGAAGAAAACCAGCCTCGGTTCTTAACAAAATGCTGATGTTTGGAGGCACATGAACCGAACCGGTACTGGAACATGTGATCTGTGAAATCATACTGTGAGTGATCTAGAGATTATGGTCAGACCAAAGAAAAATGCTCAAAGATCCCTCTCTCTCTCTCTTCATGCTCCAACCTTGCAAAAATGCTTAAGAATGCTAACCCCTGTCCTTATGGTGAGAGAAGGAAGTATGAAGAGCTGAGAGGTGAATGTATTTTTAGGCTCCTGGCGCATCTTTGTCCACATATGAATCATCGTTGGGGAAAAAAAAACTAATTCAGATAAAAACAGATTAGTGAGATTTAGGAATGGGGATTTATGTTACCGATTATCATTATTTGTGATCAATTTCATGCTATGAGAGAAATTTTGATTCATCATTGTCACCATAAATTCCAATTAATGTTTAAACCCAGCCCTCAAAACTGTCAAGCTAGATAGCTTTACTATTTTCTCCACTGTTTTCCAACGGTAGGACTGATAAATATCAATCATTTCAAAAATATGACTGAATGCAATTAGTGTGTGCAGTTTAGTCATACAAATCGAACTTCTCTGTATGTCTATATTTTTCAAAAGTAGCATTTGTGTTTGTGGGGCATGACTCCTGTGCCATACACTTACCTAAAAAAAGAAGTAATAAACAGCTCTCATCGTCAATAGTACCACAAAATATTATGATAAAACTCCAAGTCTACATCACCTGCCCCAATTTCCAGAAAAAGTACAAAAGTATTGGTGTGTAATTTAAAGATGGAGGTTCCCTGATTTTTACACCTAGATATAAACACACCAGCCCTGGCCATCAGTCACCTCAAAGAGGTTAAGAGCAGCACACAGCAGCTCAACGGTGGCCATGCTGGCTTACTGGAGCGTGATGCAATAGGTCAGAGCTATTCCCCGGCTGCCGTGTCCTCCTCATAATTGATGGGTAATTAGCGCAGGTAGTGTAGGTCATGAGTTGCACTCGAGCATGCAGCGAGCAGGTGAAAGCATGAGTCACGGCCGATGATGCGATGCCTCTGGAGGACGCAGACTTTTTTTGTTTTTTTTATTCTTTTAAGAGGGCGTTTTCACTCACGCCACGGCGCAAACAAACGCACCGTTTGTCGCAAACGGGAGATGAAAGCTGGCACAAAGTGAACACGCTCGCTTCGTCTCCCCACACGAGCACACGAAATCAAAGGGCGCTAAAAAGCTTATTTTAATTTCACCGGATCCAGCAGCACCCTTTAATAAGCGCACTCCATTTGCATGCAAATCAGACCAATTACCAGCAAGTAGCTGGGATGCAAGTATCATTTCACATAGAGCCATATCATGCCTCATTTGCTTAGCCTTGAAACATAAGCTTCCATGTACAGCAGAGCACAGTGTTACTCTCTGTGTTCACTCAACACTGATTTAGCACTTGACTAAGAAAACTATTATTGCTGGTAAATGTGTAAAACAGAAACTGGATAATTATCTGGCTTCACATCCCTCAGCGCCAGCCAGGATCTCCTTTCATTTGAAGATAAAGCCCTCAGAAGAAACCTATTCAGAGACACAATCTCTGCTGCAGCGAGGTACACGGCGTGGCATGAAACTCGGGGAAACTAAAATGACAACTGCATGAGAGCCGACGTAAGAAGATTACCAACAGAGCATGAATTTCACCCGCGTCCTAGCAGACAGGGCCAGTCAGAGGCACTTCGCTGCGTCTGACTTTAAAGTCTCTCTCTCTCAGTCAGAAGTGGTGTCCATAAAACTCAAAAGGGTAGAAATCCTCGACAAAACACTGCATGAAGGCGTATCTACTGAAACAAAGTTATTTTGGGGGAGGGGGAAACAAGCGCTTTAATTTGGCTCTTATTGTGGACATCAAACAATGCGTCGATGTAAAACATCAAAGAAATCAGGACTTTCTGTCATTTTTAATAGCCCGTACCAACAAAGGCTTTTACTGGCTAATGCCGATTTACACTCTACTTGGAGCTCTGATTTTCTTTAACAGTTATGACGCATACTATTGTGTAAACTTTTTGTTTAAACTCAAATTTAACAAACGTGGGCTATAAAAGTTCTTCAGACGCCATTAAGAGGCAAAATTAAATCCGATTTTGTTTTGTCGATCACCAGATGGAACAAATCCGTGACAAATTGTCTGATTTTGGTCACTGGCCAACCAATTGGTGCACCACTACATATCTTCAACATGCCAACACCAGCTTTTTCCGATTACATCCATTTGCATCAGCAGCAGAGACACAGTCGAAGTAGTCAAGCAGTCACTGGGGAATATTGTGAATATTGTGAAAGAAACACTGATAACAGAATTCACATTTTATGTGGTTTTTAGAATCGTATAATGATTTATTTTGGTTGGAATTACAAAAACACTACTTTCTGTATATGAATCCTTAATTTAACGTTGAGATTTTCAAAAGGCTACCACTATGTCTAAATCAAAAATCCATGAAAGACTTTTACTGAAAATTCAAGAGGATAAACAGACTTCCTGTTATTTGATAAAGTGTTGCTCTCTCTCTCTCTCTCTGTCTTGCAGCCGGATTAAACCAGAAACATGTCTGACGTGACGGTTTCTTTGCAAAGAGTTTCAAAGACTTATTTGGCTAAAAATATTTACCTTTGACGATGCCCAACGGCATGGGCGGGCATTGGCCCCACAGAGTCAGCCGTGCCCCCCTGGACTGGAAGCTGTTTGTTGTTTTTACCTTATAGCGGCCAACTCTCTGTTATTCCTATGTCGATTTGATACAGTAGGGGCTTCCACACTTTCCACATCAGTGCCTTCTGTCACATTTTTTCAGCAGTTAAAACTGTGTAATCTGTTGCCAACACGTCGTAACCTGCTTTTCCGAGCCGCCTTTAAACGCAACATGAGCGCTAAGATGCTGGGTTTACACCTGTTTGGAAACCTGCTGCCGCTGTGCAGAGCAACTCAGGTTTGTGTTAGAATCATGGCAGCAAACCAGCAAAACGCAAAGAACTTTGCACAGTTTCCCTCCCAAACTAACCGACTGAGTTCAGTAATACGTTTGGATACAGGTGTTAGCAAAAAGATGTCTAGCTAGTACAGCACCTTAAGTTTGTTAACAAGTAGCCTATAGGCTGCTGGTGTTGTCCATGTTCAAAAGTGGGTAGTACTTGTTACATTCACTTGTGTAACTTTCTTAGAAAAAGAAATAAAAGGTAATTATAAGAGTAGTTTTACGGCACTGTACCTTTTTCTTTTACTTGAGTGATATTGTTATTGCTACGTAGATTCATTTTGCCCCCCAAAAATAAACCGATGCTGCCCCTGTTAAACTCGTCTGGAGCGGGGCTGCGTTTGACTCGTCTTGACTTAGTACCAACTTCCACGTAAATGGTAGCAACAACCTGGTGACATAATCGCTAACCAGAGTGAGTTTCCAACTTGCCAGTCCCCAGTCTGGGGTGTTCAGGGAAAAAATAAAAAGGTTTTCTCTGGTCACTAGCGGATGTCTTGGTACATTTTTGACTCAAAAGCAGCTATGTAACCACTGCTGACCCATAGCTGCTGAACTTTACAGATGGGAGGCAGGAAACTGATGATGCAGCTTCAACTGAGTGAAGCCTGAGCGTGGACAACTGGTTGAGCAAATCTGACTAAGCTGCATGTAGGAAGGAGGAGTGCTTATGACCATCACTCTATGGAATTGCTGACCTTATACATGCCAAGAAGCAAAAGAATATGTCATTATATTTAAAAAAAATAAATAAATCAACAACCTCAAATGAATATACAGTGAAAGGTGTCAGGGGGGGAAACCTCCTTTTCTGACACCCAGCATACCAGAGAGTAATGATAGGAACAGACTTATCAGCACATGGTGTATCAGGCTGTAACAGATGAACCCCGCAGTAGGCAGTTTATCAAAGGGCACAATGTCAAGAGCACACTGATAGCTGGTAGTGAATGAGAATGTGAACCAACACAACAGCCATAGCCAAAAGTGACAGGACAACATGTTTGTTTTTTCTTCCCCTCAATAAAACAGATGCTGTCAATAATTAACCGCTCAGACACAAAACTTCTAAGATTCAGTAAACCAGACAGATGCTGCAGCTCCAAAACATTTTTTCCCCTTTCCGTTTTATGTCAGCACAGACCTGGAAGCCCCCCAAAACAAACAGATACGGACCCACACAGCTGTCAGCAGCCCTGAGGAACCATCATCAAACCAATAGCTGGTCCAGCCCATCAGCTGACATGAGGTTCTAACAAGGTTCTGACAAGGTTCTACCTGGCGTCATTTGAAAGAAATTAATGACAAATTAGACCAGACTTCAACCTCAGTGACCCCCCGCACTTTTCGATAAGCATCACTGATGATGAGCAGAAACGCACACACACACACAAAGGGAACTGATACAGCTCCTCCTTACCTCCAGACGTTCCAGGCTGATGAAGCTGGCAATAGCAAATCCATCAATGATATCCTCCTCCTGCGAGCTGGACTCCCGTCTCTTCCTCCGAGGGGGGCGCGGGGCTCTGGCTGCGGCTGCGGGGTGAGGCGTCTTTTTAGCGGCCGGGGAGGCGGCGTCTCTCCCGGGACTCTGTCCCTCCCTGTCAGAACAGGAGGAGTTGGGCTCGGGGCTGCGGGCGTCTTTGCTCCCCGGCTCCCGCAACCTCCGCACCCTCTCTCGCTTGGCCCGGCATCTCCGACCCTGCTTCAGTTTCCCATCCATGTTATTGGAAAGAGCTTGCATGCAGTGTCAAAATAACAGAAAAAAAAAGGAAAAAGAAGAAGAAGAGGAGGGGGAAAAAAACTCCACAGGACGTGCACGCCCACAGACTCGCGGAACCGTATAATAACAAATAACACACACTGGACTGAGAATTAGAGGCTGCGCTATAACGTGCGGATAGCGCCGCGCGCGTGCGTGAGCAAGTACGCGTGCGCGAGCATGTGCGCGTGCGCTCGAGTGTATATGTGTGTGTGTGTTCGCGAAGGCGTCTGTGTGCGCTAGTGTGGATGGGAAGGCAAATAACGCCTGAAAACACTCAGTGACCTTGAGTACAAACCCCCCCGATTTCCACTACGGCGAGGCAAATGTTCAAGTATCCCGCACAGTCGGCGAGGGAGCGGGCGAAGCGGCGCGGATACGCACGCTTTTCCGTCACGAATCCGCACAGTGTCGACGCGGCGTCCGTAAAAGCAGGTGCAAAACGGGCAAACTGTGGAAAAATCCGCGCATTACAGCCGCCTCGCAACTTTTGTTGCACGGGAATCATAGCCAGCGATGTTCGAGCCTGACCACGCAGCGTACCGCAGACAGCGTAGAGGAATCATGTCGCTGGCCGTTGTTCTTTTCCACCACCCCAACCCATGATCCAGGGCTGTCAGATCCAGAGAGGGAGCTCGCGGGATACTATCCGTCCGAAACAACAACGTACGAGTGTGGCGAATAATCCCCGCACGCGACGCGTTGAGTTTTTAAGTGATATTCCTCCTCCTCGCTTCAGGGGGTAAAGAATCCCAAGTCTGAGAGAGCTGTACTTCTGCGCAATATTTCCACCAAGGAGGAAAGAAAAAAAAAAATGACCCGAGCCGTCCGAATAAACCAACCATCCAGTGTGAAATCAAACTCCACAAGGCGATGAAGCGGTCTCTTCCAGCTCAGATAATGTTGAGTTTCCCCTATAAATCCACTCCAGTCCGTCCCCCTGGCTGCTCAGTTGGCTCACTGGCTCATGGTATTTTCAATTCGCATAATAAGGCTTTGATATGTGTCCTTAAAGCGACAGGAGTGATTAAAATCTCCTCTCCCTCCCTTCTCGTTCCCTTCATCCGAAATTAAGAGACGCACTCGAGCTTCAGAAAACCCACATAACTGACGTATTTCCGCCACCCCTGGCCTACAATTTACCAAAGGAAGGAAGCTGGTGTAGAAAAAAAAAAAGAAAAAAAAAAGAAAGGGGGAAAATCGTTCTTTGACACGGTTTGGATGTATTTTGTATGTCTGTGTGCCAAAGCAGATGCTACATCCAGGGGCGCTTCTAGAAATACATAATGGGGTCGTCACCTGGGGGGCTGCTGGGAATCTTGGGGTGGCTCATCAACTTTTACTGGGATAGTTGCAGTATTTGGGGAATGACTGGCAATAAAAACTGACTTTATGTGAAGGACTAAAAAACATGACATGAATACATAAATAAATCCCCCAGCTAAATGTTATTTCCCTTCTTAACTTGACCTAAACGTTTCTCTCCTTCAGAGGGTTACTAAGTTCATAACAGCACGGCCTTATACTTCAGTGATTCGTGTTTGTGATAAAATCAAGAAGGAGTCAGTAGTAATTGCAACAATGAATTATCCTTCCACTGAAGCGCAGGCAGTTCATATAGTCAACGTATCTAAACTACGTTTGAAACAAAACGACTTCTTTTAAACCATCCTGAATGTAAAAATCTGGTTTGGTTTGAGAAATTAAAAGATTTTCTTTAACATTTTTGTGACAATGTGCTTTTTTTTTTTTTTTGCATTTACAATTCAAGCTTACAAAGTTAAGCATGGTGATTAATAGTGATTAATCGTAGCGCTATAGTGTGATTAATCTCATTAAAAATGTTACTTATCAAAACACATGCAGATGTAGAGTTTTCTTTTGGTGGCAGCATCATGCTCTGTGGATGGAGCTCTGAGAGACCCTCACACCCCCCAGCCTCTCCTTCCCCACCAGCTGGGTCATGTGCTTCTCTACGACAGGTTTTGACTTGTAGAAAATAGAAGCACACACACACACACACACACACACACTCAGACGCATCCATCATCAGACTGTGAAAGCTCCGTCTGCTGCTCTGCTAAAGTCACCAACACAAATGTGCTCAGCCACATTTTACTGGCCTGTAAAGGTCAACATTTCATGAGTGCGCTGTAAATATTTGAAACATATGGGTTGTCAGGCTTTTTAGATTCATGTGGTTCTAGATCTGCAGCGCGGGGAAAGTTTCCCCAGTGACGTCTGGGGAATCCTGCGCCGCTGCCAGATTAAGGTATATCCTTTGGATCAGGAGTTAGGATAACGACGTTATGCAATCACTGCACTGTGTAACCTTAGGTTTCAGTTCTCTGCTGCGTCATGTCTCCACCTATGCTGCCATGAAAACTTCTGCAACCCTTTTCATTCTCTTTATGTGACATAATCACAGGTTTGATGTAAACGTTTAGGAATGACAGCAACAGATTAAAGTTTCTCTGAACCTCCTGTATGGGATTAAAGTGCTAACTCTTATGAAATGGAATTGATTTGCCACATTGTTAAAGATTTTTTTGTTCTTAGATTGAGTGTAGACATCTAATTTTCATTCATAAGTAAGCAAAAAAATAAAATAAAATAAAAATCCCGTTTTGCAAATATCTGATTATGAGTTGCATGATGCTCTCCTCAGCTGCAAGTCATTCATAAAACTCTGGAAATAAATAAAGCAACTTCACTGATCTGTTTCTTTGCACTGTGTAAACTTACTGCGCTTCTTCCATGCCGTTCAAACTATTTCAACGAATGCACTCTGCGTTCTGCAGATTACAATCACTCGTAATCGCCCAAGAAAGTGTCTCTCACTGGGACTACCTCTGAGCTTTTAATAGAAAATACATAAGGGACGTAAACAAAACCTATAAAGTAAGAGTCATTACATCAGACTGTGCTACGAATTAAATTGCTGTACGCAAGGATTCATCAGTTCATTCATAAAAGCCTTGAAGAGTATTACTGAGAAAAATAGAAGCCAGGAATTTCCTACATTTAGAGACATGCCTCTCAGTTGTGCTGCAGCACATCTTGTTAGAATCACAAACACAAACGTATTTTATACAAAATGTACAGACGAGATAGTGGTCAACTCTGAAGTACCACCTTTTGCAAGTGATCAGCCTCCTTTTTCCTTTTTTGTTTCTTTCAACGATGTTCTTCTGTTTGACATTCTTCCAAAACGGAAACATTTTCTGAGAGCTCACACAAATAGTTTAGTTGCTCTCTCAACAGGTTCTCCTACCTGAGCACTATATCTCTTCAGCTCCTCCAGAGATTGTCCTCCTCGTTAAATTATTTGAATAGCATTTTGTTTTAGTTTCGATTACCAAAAAATAAATAAACAATTGATAACAATGGGGTATTTTTTTCGTGCACATACACCTACTGAGGTTTGTGGTTGTACAATGACAACATGGAAGAAAAAAGTCGAATACCTTCGCAATGTACAATCTATTAGGTATGGACCTAAAGAGTTTAAGGTTGACTTTTTTCTATTCAACAAATATGTCTTACACATTCAAAGTTATATACATTTTGGTGACTAGATACAATACACTTAAAATGTTATATTTGGAGAAGTGTTCAAGGCATAGATGAAGATGTAAATACCTCCAGCACGCTGGTATTTTTACCACCCTGACTGCAAAGAAGAATCTCATTTTCCTTGGCGACATTAAATGCCAAAATGTTACCGTATATAAAAAAAGAAAACGATTCAAGGGACTGTTTCCAGAATATGTCCTCATACACTAAAAAGATGTTTGCACAAATGTTTCCAGCACCAGCAGAATGTATTTTCTTTACTGCAGAGCAGGGATTTGAGCATCTTACAGCGGCCTGGTGCTCCACTGTGAAATCTAGAGGTATTGATTTCTCGGGAGCCAGAGCATTTACAAAGGATATGGTGTGTATGTGTGAAGAGATTTTTTATTTATTTTTTATTACTTTCCCTCAGATCCTTCATTTCTCAATCCCAGGCCTGTACAAAATACCCACTGTCAGAATCACTGTTATCTCATCAAAAAATAACCTTAAGCCAGTCTTCACCCCTGACCTCGGATTGAACGAATCCTTATCGTGGCCGAGGATGCAAACCAAAAAAAAAAAAAAATAGACAATTCTGCCACTTATACATCATAAAAGCGTGACAGCCTCCCTCTGCTCCCCGCCCCCCCACCATACCTCCAAGGCGCTTCTAAGCGTTTCAAAGAAACCAGTGTTTGAGTGACTCCGATGTGGGAGCTCAGAGTCTATAGCTGTGGATTAGACTCACAGCAAATAGTAGCATGGAAGAAACAAGGGTAATCTCTTCCCTCTCCCTCACAGCCCTCTCTCCATACCTGGTCCTCCGTTTTTTTTAAGCTCCTTACTGAATTAGTTCTCGCAAAGCTGCTCACACAGAAAGGGGTTTATTCACAGTGGGGGGAAAACGGCAGGAAAACAAGAACGTTCGCTGGTTTGAATATTGACAAGTTGCTCACCTACCCGGTTACTGTTCTCCACAGCAACCGAGGGAGAAAGATGGAGGTTCGTACTCTAAACCGAAAGGAAATACCACATCTAACATCTCTATGTTTGTTTATAGTCAGATACACAGCATAATCAGATGTGAATTAAAAAAAAAAAAAATCTCATTATCCCCACTTGCTCAATGTAGTCCTTGGTATAATCACCCACAGTACATCACACTGTACTCTATCTTCCCGACAGCACAATCAATTTGCATAAAAGTAGTTTTGCTTCGCAATTTCCCAGAACCACCACATTAGCTGCAAGTATTTCAGCCTTGCCACTTATCGCTGCCCGCACTATGAAGATCTCAGAATAAGCCGAAAGAGTCTCACAAACATTCTGTGTTGGATAAATACTCTGTTTAAAAGGTATTTTAAGAAAGACAGCCTCAATCTTACCGCGGACCACATGTGGTCCGAAACCCAAAGGCATTTGTCTTCTGACATTAGCCACCTCAAATGTGGTCAGACACTTAGACCAGATCCCAAAAAGAATAAACAACAACAATTAGAGGTCTTGAGTGCAGATTATATTAACAACTTTGGAACTTTTAATGGTGGGTTATAAGTGTTCACCAATGAGATTCTGATCTGAGGGGGCAAGTACACAGAAGAAATCGCTTTCAGGGCGTTTTCACACCTGGTGGTCCAGTGGACTCGGTTCGACTGGGGACGAAAACTGTGACATTTGTTACATTTCCAGCTGATGAGATTCACTTTCACACAGTCCAACAATCCAAACTCTTTTGAAAACCTGTTTACCACTTCGCCTGTGGTGGCACTGCTCCAATAATCACTGCAGAAAAAGACACTAAAACCTCAGAAGACGAAATGAGCGCAACGTCCTGCTTTGAAAAATGGAAACAAAATGCCAGTGCTGTTAGATTTTAAGCAGCTGTGGAGGATTTCCCTTTTGGTTTGGTGAAAGACCATGAGCCGTTGTTCCCGCTAACGTTAGACTCTCATGTTTGATCTGGTTCTTTTCACCATTATTCCCTGTGCCTTAGTTAGGTTCCGCTGCTGCGCTTGCATCCATGTCCGCATTCAAATCACACCAGAGTTCACTTCAACCGAGCCAAGACCTAGATCTTTAGGTGAACCAGAGTTTACTTTTTTGGTCCGCATCAGAGTTCGATTGACATCTCCCCAAACTAATCAGACTTTCTAAGCAAACAAACTGGAGTTTGATTAAAGTGGAGGCTGGTGTGAATGCACCCTTAGTTTTACTGAATTTTCCTGTTGACTTTTAGCATCATCTCTGAATTATCTATCTGTATCCCTATCTCAAAACCCCAAATTCAATGCAGTGTAGAACCCACCACCTCTGGAGTCTGCTGCAGTGGACATGTGATTGTCTACACTGCTCTACCTGGCAATCCAATGCAAAGTCTGAGTTTGGGAGTTGGCTGCCCAGTTTCACATTTGGCGCAGAGGGAATTGTGGTGTGAGGCAGTTTCTCAGGAGCTGGGCTCAGCCCCTCAGTTCCATTGCAAGGAGCTCTTCATGCTTCATGACATTTGGGATTATGCTCCTACTCTGCGATAATAGTTTGGGGATGC